GGGAGGGGCGGGAAGCAGAGCTGGGGGGGGATTGGGGGCTGAGGGTGTTGAATGGGAAGGGAGGGCCCAGAGGAAGGGAGGCGGGAAGCAGAGATGGCCGGGGGGGGGAGTGCAGCCACCGGCCACAGCCGGAGTCTAACAGGCCGTGCCCCTGGCAGGTGCTCCCTCTAGTTGCTATAGAAGCCGGGCAGGGGGGAGTGGCTGGCTGGAAGACACTTCCCCCTTCCCAGCTTCTGCATGCAACCAGAGGCTCCCAGCTGGGAGGCGGGGCCACGATTGGTGCTGGGAGCCTCTGGTTGTGTGCAGAAGCAGGGCGGGGGGAGTGTCTGGGACTCCTGGCCCCCGCCCCGCCTGGCTTTTGCATGTGACCACAGGGCTCCCAGCGCCAATTGCGTCCCGCCACTCAGTTGCTCCCCCGCTACTCTGCTGATACCATTATTGGACCTAACCAAGTGAGTTATAAGATCAAGAACATATTCCTGCGCATCCAGAAATATAATTTATGCTATTGTGCCAAAAGTGTCCGTCTGCTATGTACATTGGACAAACGTCTCAGACACTTTGCCAAAGGATCAATGCCCACAAAACAGATGTTAGACAGTATCACAAAGAAAAAACAGTTTCTTGCCATTTCAGCCAGAAAGGACATTGTCTCAACAACTTGATTACCTGCATCCTGCTTCAAAGGCCTTTTAAGACTACACTTGAAAGAGAATCCTCTGAACTGTCATTCATGCTCAAATTCGACACTTTACACTTAAGTTTGAATAAATACTCTAATTATCTTACCCATTACAAAGATAGCTTCCGCAATTATCTCTAATATCATTAGCTCACAGACATTTACCTCTCCCCTCCCCATCCCTTTTCTGTTCTGAAATTTGATTTGTCCTTTTCATGTGTTCATTTTTTTTAAATTGTATCCTTTAACATACGGATGTGACAATTTTCTTCCACTATTTGATCTGAGGAAGTGGGTCTGGCCCACGAAAGCTCATCACCTAATAAACTGTTTTGTTAGTCTTTAAATTGCTACATAGTTCTGTTTTTTGTTTGAGCTAGGGGAAAAGCAGGACTCAGGCTAAAGGTATTTCTAACCTGTGTATGAAAGACCAGAGGATTCCAAGATGTGTAGCAAGTGCAGCTTGTCCCTTAAGAATTTGCAACCCACCTGATTCATCCATCAGAATGCGATTTATTCAAATCCTGTCTTTCTAGTATATTAAGCTTAGGTGGTGGTTTTGTTTATTTACTAGATAATCTGCTTTCATCTGTTTGCTATTGCTTACAATCTGTCTTTTGTTGTTGTTAAACTTGTTTTTTGCATTATAAACAAATGAGTTGGTGAAATGTTTGGAAGTTTTATCTCGGAAGCTCTTGCATGGTCCCCTCCACCCTGAGGGGGGAAGCACACTGGATAATAAATTAATACTGGTTGGGGTTTGGGCCAGAGAGGACAGTGCTTCTCTGGGGTTCTAGGCGGGCAAGCTGGTGGCTACTTTGGCTTGAGACTTTCTGCTGTTGCTTTATGCGGTGGCTGGGGAGAGAGCCTGCATGTATCTGCAGCTGGATGTGCCCCTACCTTTGTGACTGCTGGTAGAAGGGCAGGAACAGCACAGTATGAGATGGCCACAACTGGGGGGGTCAGAGTGCTCAATGGTACTCCAGTTTCACAATGCCAACTCTAGTTACCCTCTCTAGCATGTACTTTTAAGTCTGTAGGGATTGGTACACTGGCTGTCTTTCACTAGTAAACAGCTATTTCTCACTTCCCTTTCAGGTGTTAGCAAGACTCAGCTGGAGGAGCAGGTAAGCAATGATGCTCAGCAACCTGATTTTTTTTTTTATTTTATTTTTTTAAACCTAGCAAATGCACAGATATAAGTCTGCAGTGGTAAAAGGCCTAGCAATAAGAATCATCAGTGATGCAGCTGAGTCATGACTCCATGGGCCTCTGATATTCATGGCACTCATTCTGTCCCTGTGGCTTGCCTAGCGAATTGCTGTTTGCATGGGAGAAGAGGCGTAGGTGAAATTGAAGGGCTAAATGCACAAGTGATGCAGATTGACTTGACGTGAGAGATACAGTGAAGGGCCCTGGGATAGAAAATGCAGTCCACAATGGGTGAAAGTCTGCTCTTCCTGCTTCCACAGCTCGCTTAGGGTATGTCTACACTGCGGGCTAAAGTCAAATTATGCAACTTCAGCTAGGTTAATTGCATAGCTGAAGTTGAAGCAACTTAACTTAGCTTTTGGCACTGTCTACACAGCAGGAAGCCGAAGGAAGAACACTCTTCCTTCGATTTCCCTTACTCCTCATGAAATGAGGATTATAGAAGTCAGAATAAGAAGCCTGTTACTTCAAAATAATGGGCTTGTTGTGTAGATGTGGACTCTGTTTCAAAATTAACCTGCAGTGTAGACATAGCCTTAAAGTTTTCTAGCCCTATTTGGGTGTTACAATTGAATTTTGTCCCTGTCTCTTGTCCCTGGCTTATTCAGGGAGCATCTCAACTGCTTACATGAAAGTGGTAGGATTATGTTGTGTGTCCAAAGAGGCAGATGCCCTTGATTGTGGGAAAGGGAGCTAGCATGGTTGGGAGGGGTTGTAATCTTGTGGGTCCATTTGGGAATCTTATTTCCACAATATCAAGTTACTGCTACCTTAATCTGAAAGACTGTTTCCTGGGCCTCTGTTTGCAGCTGACAGAGCATCTGGGAATGGTGATCTATAAGGCGCTGGACTGGGGGATTGACAGCCATATGGAGCGAGAGCTGAGTGAGCCAATGGAGAAGTTGATCTCCCTCCTTCTGAAATTAGACACTGAGGCGACAAAATCAGCAATCACTTTCCAGGATGTCCTCAAGGTTCTCTTCTTCTCTTTTATTTTTACTATACAGCCATGCCAACTTCTGTAATGTGTCTGTACTTATCGCACTACCTAGCTGTTCCAGTGCATTCTGGGAAATCTGGTCTTGGCCCCACCAGCATGTTAGCTGTTGCACTCTTAAAATCTTATCGTGCAGAGATGGAAGGAAGGAAAAATGGGCAAACTAGTTCCACTGGCATCGTTCAGGCTCTGTGTCCTAATAAGTGAGCCACACTGCTTTCTAGAAACTCCCTGCCAGCCTCAGCCATTGGTGAGGCTTCCACACAGGTGAGGATGGGAAAACGTACCACGTGTAAGGTCCTAACTACTTATAAACTCAGTTAATATCTATAGCATGGCTAGGCCCTTAATCCCTAGTTCTCTTATGTGGCGGTCTCCTGCTGCCAGTGCCTGCCTTGGATTTAACCTCATAGAAACATGCCTGCAGGCAACGCATCTTTTATTCCTATTTTCTCTCCTCACTTTACCTGACTTTCCAAGTCACTTATGGAGGTTCGGTTTATTTGGATGGGGTGCAGATAAGCTCCAGGATGTAAAGAGAAAGTTATGAGCACACTTATAAGAAAGCATGGTGTTAACGCACCTCTCCTGCCTCCTGAGAAACTGCTGCAGATGTGAGAAGAGTCAGTACCTGCAGCATTCTCTCTACCTGAGACTTTTTGGATTCGTAGCTGAATGTTGGAAGTGCAAGCAGTTGGGAAAGATTAGTGCAGTCAGAATGTGTGGATGCTCCCAAGCAACCTTTCCCATATCCCCAGGCATCATGGGACCCTGTATTCAAAAGCAGCACTGAAGCTAAAGGAAACACTTGACCTAATTTTAATAGCTATCCTCTTTCCAGGCATCTGGCCTCTAGCCTAGAGGTGGATTTCCAAAACTATACGTAAACCTTGCCTGCTAGATTAACTCTTTTAATACCAAAATACCTGCCCATATGTTCTATCAGTAGAACATAGGCAGCATGCAGGCACAAAGAAAAGCTTTATCGAAAGCGATCCATGCTCTCTGGTCAGTGCTCTAGTTTCAAATCAATGTCCAGACACTGAGCTTCACTACCCCTCTTCCATTTCGTGTGGGGAAACTGAGGCACAAAAACATGATTTGTCAAAGACCTCACAGAAGGTTCCTGAAAAAGCTGGGATTTGAATTTTAATTATTCCTACTTTCCATTAGGCTGTTCTCAACAAAGTTTTCTCACTCCAATCTCTAGACAGTTGGTTGGTGTGTTCAATGCACAGAGCAGCCATAATTTGAGTCCACCAGTTTTAATTTTAGATTAAAGAAAAGAGAACAATAACAGAAGTGTTCAAGAGTACACAGTGATTTCCTCTAACATGCTGTCTCTGTCATGTCCCAGAAAAGGGCAGCCTCACCTGAAAACCAGTTATTTAAAGTTCTGATACACAGAAGATAATAAATTACACAGCTCCCTACAACATCACTGACACAGAATTT